GTCTTTTTTGGTGAAGTAAACTTTTTTTCTGGTACCATGAACAGCTCAAGGAGGAGAATTGTATCATTGATATATTTTTAGGGTTAACTATTTTATACAGGACACTTTTCGAGGATGCTTTGACGCCTGGTGTTTGTGAATCTCATGTTTCAAGATTCAATATATATACACACAGCTATATACACATAAATGGAATATGATGTAAATAACAGCTGAATGTTTATGGATGTTCTTTACAGAGTTCAGGTGTTTGATAGTCTTATGGCCTCTGGGATGAAACTGTCCCAGCATGTATCAATCACTTGTTTCAATCAAACTTGTATTGTAACTCTTAGCAAGTAAGGTAATAAGCAGTATCCCCAATTATCAAATTCTTTATTCGAATTAAATAATTGTGTGTCCGTCCACGATGTTAATACTGTCCAAGCCAAAATAACTCTTAGATTAAATCCTTAGGTGTTGCCAGTGCAATAGAGTGGTGCAGTGACGAGTCCTAAAACCAGGAAGTGAGTCAGCATTTTACCACTACCGGTTCCCTCGTCTCAGAGCCAATGGGATCTCTCCATAGGATTTTGGAAAATATCTGGAAATGAGGTCTGTGGTTGAGACACATTTAAGAGACGGATCATGTTTTGTTCTACGACATTAAATCATCAGCAGTGACCCCACTGGTGATTTCTGAAGAGTTGACGTGTCTGAAAAACGATGGTTGTTACCAAGTGGCTGAATAGGACTACAGAAGTTGTCCAGGCCGTTTTACGTCATTACGCTGAACACGTGAACACTCCTCTAAGTTAGTTTGCCCTGTTCTGCTTGAAAGCAAGTCCTCCTGCAAACTGTTAAAACAAACGCTTCAACTCGTACCATTTAGAATCTGTATTTTTGATTATGGATCTTAAGTTGGCGTGACGTTGAAGTCGTGCTGCTGGACTCGGCTGTAGTTCCTTTATAGCATAACTTTAGCATTTAGCTTCTGGCGATTAGATTTATCATTTTGAAAAATTATAAAAGTAGGGTAGACATGTGGAGATTATCCGGCTGAACAAAACGTGCATTTATCAAACAGGCTCGTTTTCCAAAGACCTTATTTCGAGCTATTTTCCAAAATCCTATGGAGAAATCTCATTGCTTTTTTGTCGAGGGAACCAGCAGCTTACTTCCGGGTAAATACGTCACCCCTGCACCGCTCTATACCAGTGAGACAAAGAGAAAGTGTGCCCTGTGCTGGTTGTTTGCTGAATTCAATGTAGCAGTCTGGATGCTGAGACAAGGCCTCTCGTGTTTGTTTGCGGCGTCTTCAGATCCTTTGCTTCTAAACACTTGGTCAGGTTCTGGGTTTATTTTTGTTTTCTGAGGCCATAAGGCGACACTTCACGCCGTGTCCTCGGACGAGAGGCAGCTCTGAGAGTTCAGACGATCGATTTCTGCCTGTCGGCTGCTTATGTTTCTCAGATGGGTTTCTAGTTATTTCTAGGAGGGAACGACACCAGAGCGTTTGAACAGTCTTTTAATCAGATGGAGAGCAGCAGGGAAAGCACACTTTGTTCAACTTCATTTTTTATATTAAAGGAAAGATCTTAACTCAGGCTTACGGAAGAGGATTAGGGCCACATGTAAATGTTTTGAGTTCTAAGAAAAAGTCAGAAATTTGAGATAAAGAAATCTGATACGACTTTTTTCCACAAACTCTTGTTTTTACACAATTTCTGACTTTTTCCCTCAGATCTGTCTTTTTTACCCACAATTCTGTCTTTTCCTTCCAATTTCTGACTTTTTCCTCAAAAAATGTTTTCTCAACTTTCTGACTTTTCCCTTCATAATCCTGACTTTAATCTTTTGGTTAGACCTCAAAACTAATTGCCATGAGGCCCTTATCCTCTCCCGTTTTCTATTATATCTCATTGAACCGAGTGCAGTCGTCTTTCTACCGTCTGTACAATCTGTTTCTGTGTCGTGTGAAATTATTCAGACGCCTCACTGAAGAGGCTTCAAAAGAAGAAACAAACACACAAGTTTACTTTCGCCTGTCGAAGAATCAGTTCTTATTTCTAATCATACGTTGAACTTTACATCACCCTGTCTCCTCCGCTGAGCTTCAAAACACACAACGCCATCAGAGACGTGTGACCTATAGGTGCTCGTCAGGAATGGGTTTTCACTTCCTGTTTTCCATCACATCTTATATTTTATTCTCCTGTAAAAAATAGGACAAGAAAGCTATTGACTTTACTCTAACTTGACTTTAAATAAAGATCTTTAAAGTTAACTTATTACAGATGCTGAATGTGTGAACCTGGCACAGAATGCTAACCGTAGCCATTCAAATGTGTTGTTTAAAAAATAATAGATACATAATGTGTTAACATTGTCTTGCACTGAAAGCAATTTTAAATCAAGAACACGTATTACAATATTCTCAACGACACTTTCGCCAATTCCGTATATTTGAGATACTTCAATATATTTTATTTTGAACTCCTATTGATTTATGTTCCCGAGGCATTTCCTTCTACGAGTTTCAGATCTATTGAGTTTGAATATTGTTTGAGATCTAATGTTCATTGAAGGTGTCAGATGTGCAGAGTCGGTTTGATGTAAACGCATTGTATACAACGTTTGAACAGCAGGGTTTGTTTTGTGCGATTACATACATTATATTTATAAATAGTTGTGTTTACAATAAGAGGCAGTTCCAACAGTAACACAAAACACTTCCAACAAGAAGAAGGGGTGGAGATAGTACCGAATATAAAACAAACCAACTTACTTTACCTGGGGGAAATTTGGTTTTAAAATATACATATATTTGATAAACACAAGTTGAGAATGTGCAATGAAAATACAATCGTTTCTCAATACAAAAAAGCCCACAAGGATTTTTTTGTATACATATTAAAACATTTGGCAGTGCAATGGAATTATTTAAACCATTTTCAAATATGAATCATCTTATTTTAAGAGATATTTAGATAAATACACACCTTTGCTCCTTTCAATCAAAGAAAACGAGGATTGGTTTAATGAGAAATGACATATTGTCTTACTGGAGACTGGTAAATTCATCCTTAATATATCAGTAACTCTGTGTAGTTTTACATGGAGCATAATATTGAATTAAATTACTTAATCACCTCCATGTTAAAAATATCCAAACACCAGAATGTGCAGAGAGCGTAAAGGGCATGTCTTTTTAATTTGGTGTATCGAAACATGTAATTAAAATCAGATATATTTTTCCTTGTCATACTGAATTAAATTACGGAGGGAAACATTAATAGAGTCGGCGACAGCAGGAGTCATGCAGGGTTTTAGCCGGAGGGCAAAGCTGTTTATCGTCAGGGGAAGAAGAGGCAGATGACAGTAAACAGAGCTTTTACTTGAAATAAGACAATCAGAGCGCAGAGTGAACGCTGACGGACGTGTGCTGTCGCATCAGATGGATTTCTCCTCTCGTCACTCAGTCGGGTGGAAAGCTGGAGGCTGTCGCAAGAATGACGAGCATCAATCAGTGTCACAGGAAACACCCGAGACGGCAGGAAACATCGGGCACGTCCTCCCGTGTAGAGACGTGTAGAGAAGACGTGAGAAGACGTGTAGAGACGTGTAGAGAAGACGTGTAGAGAAGACGTGAGAAGACATGTAGAGACGTGTAGAGAAGACGTGTAGAGACGTGTAGAGAAGACGTGTAGAGACGTGTAGAGAAGACGTGTGAAGAGTGAGAATGTAAAAAAGTGGCTTCTTTGATTCAAAATAGCTTCCTGAAGTGCTCTGCTTGTTTCTCTGCCATAACATCACCTGCCTCGTGATTAATTGAATCTCAGTCAGCCTGAAGATCAGCTTTTATAAATGTGATATCTTTGGAAACTTTGAAGCCTCCACTAGATTTGTCAAATATCTTGTGGATGTTTTCAACCATGATTAGATCACTTTAAAGTGAACACAATTAGATCATTTTCTCATATAGCTCCAAGTGCAGAGTGCTTCAGATTAGTTTACATGTCTACGATTCTCTTTTGTTATTTCAAAAATAAAAGCACTGTTTAGAGTAGCAGTGAAAGTAAAAGCCCACATTAGGACCCTCAGCTTCACGGTGATATTTCTGAGCCGGTGTTTGCTCTGTTGTGAGGACGGAGAGGTGAAAGTGGGTGAGCCGATCGGCGGGGGGCAATTAGCCAGCTAATTAAAATGGAAGTCCTCCAGGAAGGGGCAGGAAGTCCTTGAGAAGTCTCCAGCAGGGCACAAGTTTGATTTCTCACCGTGAGTCTCGCTGTTGTTTATTCAATAAACCATGTGGAGCAGCGACAGACTCTCACCTGTCATACTCCAATGTAACGAAAAACAACTAAAGAAAAACTAAATAGTAATAATAATAAAATGTCTCCACTGATCTGTGTTGTAACTTGTAAATGTGATTTCTGTATGATTCCAATCGCTTTTTATAGTCAAAATCAGCAAATTTGCAGAGCTCCTCCGCTACAACTACGGGTAGCGATGAGAAGTGAGGCAGGGACGAGCTCTGCCTCTCATAAGCCCACAGTAACTGGCTGGAGCGCGGGCACTAATTTAACGCGGGCACTTATTTTGTGAGCACGCTCCAGCCAGTTACTGAGTGGTGAGGTGAGGCACAGATGAGCTCTGCCTCACCTCAGAATGCGTCACTCCACATAAACTGGCTGGAAAGCGGGCCCTAAGCGCATGCCTGCACCATCTCACTGTAGGTCACCAATGTAATGTTTGTCGATCCCTTTATTACATTTATCCTCGCCATCCATAGTCACTAAATAACTTATTTCACGTGTATATGATATTTAGGCTCACTGGTCTCATCGTACAACGGCAATGAAAAAAGCACCAGGGGAGGCAGCCATAACCTCTGCCGCACTGAAGGGGGCGCACGTGAGCCCACAGGTTCTTGTTGCTACTGTTATTCTACACAGAGACGGTAGACGCGAACAACAAACTAGACTTTTGAAACTAGAGGAAGATAAGGAGGACTTTTACAAAAATGTAATGGAGATTGTTGTCCAGAAGGAAAGCATGGACTTCATCTTCAAGTCAAGGTAAGACCACCATTGTAATGAACATGGGATCTTACTAAGAGAGAACAATCCAATATTTAGATTGTGGGTATCCTTTTGTTGAACGGTCTGTTTAAAATGAATTGAAGCATCAGACTAAAAAAGCTTTTGAAAATAACCGAAAATTTCGATTAAGGTCAAAATATAATATTTGTAAATCTGACTCTGAAAGAGTCAGTGCCTCACCAGCCATGAACCTCACCGCACGTCACTGGGAGTGACTGCTGTAGTTTGATGACGTCAATACTCGTACCCACTGAACATGCTCAAACCACATAATGGGTTCATATTATTATATGTAAGAGGAGGTGATGTGTTTTAATGCAGCAGAGCATCAATAACAATGCTGCTGCTTATACCCACAATGCATCGTGTGTGTGTGTGTGTGTGTGTGTGTGTGTGTGTGTGTGTGTGTGTGTGTGTGTGTGTGTGTGTGTGTGTGTGTGTGTGTGTGTGTGTGTGTGGTGTGTGTGTGTGTGTGTGTGTGTGTGTGTGTGTGTGTGTGTGTGTGTGTGTGTGTGTGTGTGTGTGTGTGTGTGTGTGTGTGTGTGTGTGTGTGTGTCCTTATTAATGAAAGACATACAGAAATACACATTTTTAGTTGTCTATTTTGTATCATAGGGAAGTGACAAAGCTGGGTTAGAATGATTGTCTTTTGGGGGTTTTGCCTTTCCTGTCTAGGTTTTAGTGCATGTAAATGGTCTGCAAAGGCTAAAATCCCTGTGTTCCCTCCAGAGGGAGGCCCAATCCCAAACCACTCCCTCGACCCTACCCCTCCGTGACGGAGTGAACTCCGTCTGTAGCCACACTCTCAGCTCAACGAGGCTCCCTCCTGTCAGATAGAGGGAGTAAACACAGCAGCAAGCTTTGGGACGGCCTCCCCTCTCTCCGGCAGAAACAGGAAATGCCGTAACTGTATGTAACAACGGTTTCAAATCAGCATCTCTTAGACAAAAAGTTTAAATTAATAACTCAAATAAAACTCCAAACATCTTTCATTGTGTTACTTTTTTGTAAAACTATTTTAGTTTTAAACCTGATGTTTATAAGCTTCTTAGTTTTTGCAACAGTCTGTAAATATACACAACTTTATAATAAAATGCACACATTTACCTGTTTCTAGACTAAACACAGGTTTGATCCTAAGTTAAAACATGAGGTCATCATGAGGTTGTTAACATCGCAGTTTATCAGTGGATGTTTGCTGGAACTACTTGTAAACAGCGTGTTTCCTGACGGACACACACAGCGTGGCTCCGGTCAGGTAGAGACCGGTCTCAAGTCAGCACGATGCAGACTCGCTGTTTGAGGGCTTGATAGCCCACTCCCCCTCCACACTCGTTGGTTTGGAACATCCCTTAATATGGCGGACCCTCCGCGTGAACGTGCAAACGGAGGGGGAGTGTGCAGGGGGTGATTTGGGATTGGGCCGGAGTTTCTCTCCCACACACTCCCCAATCAGAGCAGACTGGGCTCTGGTTTCAGACGGAGGGTGAAAGAAGCTTGCCAGGCCAGTAGTTGCCATTACAGTTCACATTTCCTCAAATACCGGAGAAGAACATTTCAAGCTTGCGTAGTTGGCTTACTTTTCCTTTGTGATTAGTAGCAGGTTTTAAACTTTTTCTAGCCCAACAACTTTTTGTATCGAGATGTCTCATGTCTAATGGAAGATCTCCAAAGTAATCAGAAATGCTGCCATCAGATAAACAGGATCCACTCCAGGTCTCTGAAAAGTCGAAACCCAGTTAGCCCAGCATCAGAAGCTCGGACGTGTTCTTTGTGCTGGAAATAAACGTCCTCTTTGATGGTTGCGATAGCGCCGGCTCTCAGACAGGTTTGTGTTTACAGTACGGGACTTTAAATTGCCGCCTGTCGCTGAGCCGGAGTGACATTTGTATTGATGTCAGGCTCTTCCTCCTCGTCCATCTTCCTCCTCCTCCTCCTCTGAATCCTGATGAGGCGTCCAGTGGCTGCCTGAAGTGAAATCAATCAGCCCTTCAATCTTTCTCTAAAGGACCATTATCCAGCCCCCCCTGAGGGCCTCTCTGCTGCAGGATCTATGACCTGATCCGCCTCCCTAATTCACACTCGCTAACTCCACTCTGACAAGAAACCTAACAACAGGAAGGTCAAGATTTAAGGTCCAGACTTCATCTGTTTAAATCTCAACACATAAACTGTAAGACCTTCGGCAGCTCCACTGAACAAATATTTAAAGGGGACATGTTCTGCTCATCTTCAGGTTCATATCAGTATGTAGTGTCTCTACTTTAAAGAGTCCTCTCCTGCTGATGTTCAGGTGTATATCAGTATGTAGTGTCTCTACTTTAAAGAGTCCTCTCCTGCTGATGTTCAGGTGTATATCAGTATGTAGTGTCTCTACTTTAAAGAGTCCTCTCCTGCTGATGTTCAGGTGTATATCAGTATTTAGTGTCTCTACTTTAAAGAGTCCTCTCCTGCTGATGTTCAGGTGTATATCAGTATGTAGTGTCTCTACTTTAAAGAGTCCTCTCCTGCTGATGTTCAGGTGTATATCAGTATGTAGTGTCTCTACTTTAAAGAGTCCTCTCCTGCTAATGTTCAGGTGTATATCAGTATGTAGTGTCTCTACTTTAAAGAGTCCTCTCCTGCTGATGTTCAGCTGTATATCAGTATGTAGTGTCTCTACTTTAAAGAGTCCTCTCCTGCTGATGTTCAGGTGTATATCAGTATGTAGTGTCTCTACTTTAAAGAGTCCTCTCCTGCTGATGTTCAGCTGTATATCAGTATGTAGTGTCTCTACTTTAAAGAGTCCTCTCCTGCTGATGTTCAGCTGTATATCAGTATGTAGTGTCTCTACTTTAAAGAGTCCTCTCCTGCTGATGTTCAGGTGTATATCAGTATGTAGTGTCTCTACTTTAAAGAGTCCTCTCCTGCTGATGTTCAGGTGTATATCAGTATAGTGTCTCTACTTTAAAGAGTCCTCTCCTGCTGATGTTCAGGTGTATATCAGTATGTAGTGTCTCTACTTTAAAGAGTCCTCTCCTGCTGATGTTCAGGTGTATATCAGTATGTAGTGTCTCTACTTTAAAGAGTCCTCTCCTGCTGATGTTCAGGTGTATATCAGTATGTAGTGTCTCTACTTTAAAGAGTCCTCTCCTGCTGATGTTCAGGTGTATATCAGTATGTAGTGTCTCTACTTTAAAGAGTCCTCTCCTGCTGATGTTTAGGTGTATATCAGTATGTAGTGTCTCTACTTTAAAGAGTCCTCTCCTGCTGATGTTCAGGTGTATATCAGTATGTAGTGTCTCTACTTTAAAGAGTCCTCTCCTGCTGATGTTCAGGTGTATATCAGTATGTAGTGTCTCTACTTTAAAGAGTCCTCTCCTGCTGATGTTCAGGTGTATATCAGTATGCAGTGTCTCTACTTTAAAGAGTCCTCTCCTGCTGATGTTCAGGTGTATATCAGTATGTAGTGTCTCTACTTTAAAGAGTCCTCTCCTGCTGATGTTTAGGTGTATATCAGTATGTAGTGTCTCTACTTTAAAGAGTCCTCTCCTGCTGATGTTTAGGTGTATATCAGTATGTAGTGTCTCTACTTTAAAGAGTCCCTCTCCTGCTGATGTTCAGGTGTATATCAGTATGTAGTGTCTCTACTTTAAAGAGTCCTCTCCTGCTGATGTTCAGGTGTATATCAGTATGTAGTGTCTCTACTTTAAAGTGTCCTCTCCTGCTGATGTTCAGGTGTATATCAGTATGTAGTGTCTCTACTTTAAAGAGTCCTCTCCTGCTGATGTTCATGTGTATATCAGTATGTAGTGTCTCTACTTTAAAGAGTCCTCTCCTGCTGATGTTCAAGTGTATATCAGTATGTAGTGTCTCTACTTTAAAGTGTCCTCTCCTGCTGATGTTCAGGTGTATATCAGTATGTAGTGTCTCTACTTTAAAGAGTCCTCTCCTGCTGATGTTCATGTGTATATCAGTATGTAGTGTCTCTACTTTAAAGAGTCCTCTCCTGCTGATGTTCAGGTGTATATCAGTATGTAGTGTCTCTACTTTAAAGTGTCCTCTCCTGCTGATGTTCAGGTGTATATCAGTATGTAGTGTCTCTACTTTAAAGAGTCCTCTCCTGCTGATGTTCATGTGTATATCAGTATGTAGTGTCTCTACTTTAAAGAGTCCTCTCCTGCTGATGTTCAAGTGTATATCAGTATGTAGTGTCTCTACTTTAAAGAGTCCTCTCCTGCTGATGTTCAGGTGTATATCAGTATGTAGTGTCTACTTTAAAGAGTCCTCTCCTGCTGATGTTCAGGTGTATATCAGTATGTAGTGTCTCTACTTTAAAGAGTCCTCTCCTGCTGATGTTTAGGTGTATATCAGTATGTAGTGTCTCTACTTTAAAGAGTCCTCTCCTGCTGATGTTCAGGTGTATATCAGTATGTAGTGTCTCTACTTTAAAGAGTCCTCTCCTGCTGATGTTCAGGTGTATATCAGTATGTAGTGTCTCTACTTTAAAGAGTCCTCTCCTACTGATGTTCAGGTGTATATCAGTATGTAGTGTCTCTACTTTAAAGAGTCCTCTCCTGCTGATGTTCAGGTGTATATCAGTATGTAGTGTCTCTACTTTAAAGAGTCCTCTCCTGCTGATGTTCAGGTGTATATCAGTATGTAGTGTCTCTACTTTAAAGAGTCCTCTCCTGCTGATGTTCAGGTGTATATCAGTATGTAGTGTCTCTACTTTAAAGAGTCCTCTCCTGCTGATGTTCATGTGTATATCAGTATGTAGTGTCTCTACTTTAAAGAGTCCTCTCCTGCTGATGTTCAGGTGTATATCAGTATGTAGTGTCTCTACTTTAAAGAGTCCTCTCCTGCTGATGTTCAGGTGTATATCAGTATGTAGTGTCTCTACTTTAAAGAGTCCTCTCCTGCTGATGTTCAGGTGTATATCAGTATGTAGTGTCTCTACTTTAAAGAGTCCTCTCCTGCTGATGTTCAGGTGTATATCAGTATGTAGTGTCTCTACTTTAAAGAGTCCTCTCCTGCTGATGTTCAGGTGTATATTAGTATGTAGTGTCTCTACTTTAAAGAGTCCTCTCCTGCTGATGTTCAGGTGTATATCAGTATGTAGTGTCTCTACTTTAAAGAGTCCTCTCCTGCTGATGTTCAGGTGTATATTAGTATGTAGTGTCTCTACTTTAAAGAGTCCTCTCCTGCTGATGTTCAGGTGTATATCAGTATGTAGTGTCTCTACTTTAAAGAGTCCTCTCCTGCTGATGTTCAGGTGTATATCAGTATGTAGTGTCTCTACTTTAAAGAGTCCTCTCCTGCTGAAACACAATGTGCTGTTCGTAAAGTGGAAAAGCCATCATAACAGTAAAACTGCAACATTTGGTTCAGCTTTGTTTCCCCCTAATTTCTTTCTCCCATCACTTTTTAAATGCCACAAGTTTAAAACAAAAAACATTTTTGAAAATAAATCAGCTATAATTGAATCTTTTTTTTTCTTCTGTGGAATTATTTCCAAACTTGTCAAGGCTGCCAACTTTTCATTTTGGGTTGGATTCAGAATAACATCACCTTATCCTCAGTCTTATCCAGGGTCACCCTGAACAGAAGAAGAGTGATACGCCAACCTGATAAGGAAACACATTTTTCAAGAATTTTAAAATGAGGACATTTTCAATTCATTACAATATTATTTGAGCCAACTTGTACAGATGTGAAACTAATTTAAATTTGATATGGGAACATTTTGAGCAGAAATCCATTGCACTTTTCTGTTATCACATATTAGGATTTTCAGGTGACTTCGAAGGGACGTATCATACAAATGTTTCAGGTTCACACCTAAGAAAATTGTTAATTCTAGACATTATACATTGTTCAGGAAACACATTTGTTTTTCTCATGGCGTCCGTCTGCATACAACTTTATTCACTCTTCAATCATCCCCTGCCACTAAATCAGTCTGCTACAACTGAAGTGCCAGAAAGTTGCAAACAGTACTGTATGTGGACACTTTTATCCAAAGTGAATTAGCGAAGTGCTATCAACCATGAGGATACAAACGCAAATTAGCATTACCCATAATCCCCTCTGTTTCAGCCCTGTTTCCAAAGTGCTGATTCTCTGTCTGTTACTTTAGATGAAAATAAGGAGCCCCTCCCCACGCCCCTCTGAGAGAGATTTGGTTACAAAGAACTCAATAGAGCTCTAGGAGGAGATTCAGGTGATAAGGTGGGGGGGGGTTACCTTGGTTACCTTGGTTGGTGATTGGCTAATGGTTACAAAAGACAAAACATCGTTATGACATCATAAAGTGGCCAAAATCTGATCAGCTCATTTTCAGACAGGTTTTTATAGAAATGGATCAAAAAAGAGAGAGAATCTTTGTTCCTGAAACTTTCAGAGTCTCTTTCCACAGAGGGGACACATGTTGATGTAGAAGAGACATGAAGAAGAGGGGACACATGTTGATGAAGAAGAGACATGAAGAAGAGGGTACACATGTTGATGTAGAAGAGACATGAAGAAGAGGGGACACATGTTGATGTAGAAGAGACATGAAGAAGAGGGGACACATGTTGATGTAGAGGAGACATGAAGAAGAGGGGACACATGTTGATGTAGAAGAGACATGAAGAAGAGGGTACACATGTTGATGTAGAAGAGACATGAAGAAGAGGGGACACATGTTGATGTAGAAGAGACATGAAGAGAGGGGACACATGTTGATGTAGAAGAGACACGAAGAAGAGGGGACACATGTTGATGTAGAAGAGACATGAAGAAGAGGGGACACATGTTGATGTAGAAGAGACACGAAGAAGAGGGGACACATGTTGATGTAGGAGAGACATGAAGAAGAGGGGACACATGTTGATGTAGAAGAGACGTGTAGAAGAGGGGACACATGTTGGTGTAGAAGAGACATGAAGAAGAGGGGACACATGTTGATGTAGAAGAGACATGAAGAAGAGGGGACACATGTTGATGTAGAAGAGACATGAAGAAGAGGGGACACATGTTGATGTAGAAGAGACATGAAGAAGAGGGGACACATGTTGATGTAGAAGAGACATGAAGAAGAGGGGACACATGTTGATGTAGAAGAGACATGAAGAAGAGGGGACACATGTTGATGTAGAAGAGACATGAAGAAGAGGGGACACATGTTGATGTAGAAGAGACACGAAGAAGAGGGGACACATGTTGATGTAGAAAGAGACACGAAGAAGAGGGGACACATGTTGATGTAGAAGAGACACGAAGAAGAGGGGACACATGTTGATGTAGAAGAGACATGAAGAAGAGGGGACACATGTTGATGTAGAAGAGACGTGTAGAAGAGGGGACACATGTTGGTGTAGAAGAGACATGAAGAAGAGGGGACACATGTTGATGTAGAAGAGACATGAAGAAGAGGGGACACATGTTGATGTAGAAGAGACGTGAAGAAGAGGGGACACATGTTGATGTAGAAGAGACATGAAGAAGAGGGGGACACATGTTGATGTAGAAGAGACATGAAGAAGAGGGGACACATGTTGATGTAGAAGAGACACAAAGAAGAGGGGACACATGTTGATGTAGAAGAGACACGAAGAAGAGGGGACACATGTTGATGTAGAAGAGACACGAAGAAGAGGGGACACATGTTGATGTAGAAGAGACGTGTAGAAGAGTGGGACAACATGTTGGTGTAGAAGAGACATGAAGAAGAGGGGACACATGTTGATGTAGAAGAGACATGAAGAAGAGGGGACACATGTTGATGTAGAAGAGACATGAAGAAGAGGGGACACCATGTTGATGTAGAAGAGACATGAAGAAGAGGGGACACATGTTGATGTAGAAGAGACATGAAGAAGAGGGGGACCACATGTTGATGTAGAAGAGACATGGAGAAGAGGGGACACATGTTGATGTAGAAGAGACATGAAGAAGAGGGGACACATGTTGATGTAGAAGAGACATGAAGAAGAGGGGACACATGTTGATGTAGAAGAGACATGAAGAAGAGGGGACACATGTTGATGTAGAAGAGACATGAAGAAGAGGGGACACATGTTGATGTAGAAGAGACATGAAGAAGAGGGGACACATGTTGGTGTAGAAGAGACATGAAGAAGAGGGGACACATGTTGATGTAGAAGAGACATGAAGAAGAGGGGACACATGTTGATGTAGAAGAGACATGAAGAAGAGGGGACACATGTTGTATGTAGAAGAGACATGAAGAAGAGGGGACACATGTTGATGTAGAAGAGACATGGAGAAGAGGGGACACATGTTGATGTAGAAGAGACATGAAGAAGAGGGGACACATGTTGATGTAGAAGAGACATGTAGAAGAGGGGACACATGTTGATGTAGAAGAGACATGGAGAAAAGGGGACACATGTTGATATAGAAGAGACATGAAAAAGTGGATTTTGCACAACAGGTGACCTTTAAAGTACGTATAGTAATTGTTTTGTCCGTGTCTCCACAGATTCCTCAGATCAGCTACGCCTCCACGGCTCCGGAGCTCAGCGACAACACCCGCTACGACTTCTTCTCCCGGGTCGTTCCCCCAGACTCGTACCAGGCTCAGGCCATGCTGGACATCGTCACCGCGCTGGGCTGGAATTACGTTTCCACGCTCGCCTCCGAGGGAAACTACGGGGAGAGCGGCGTGGAGGCCTTCGTCCAGATCTCCAGAGAGTCAGGTAGGCACAAACAGACCAGACTTTGTTGTACTTTCAAAATCACCTCAGATTGACAGAGTGGTGCAGGGGAGATGTGTTTTGGTTGGCTTTCCTGGAAGTTACCAGGGTTCCCTCGACAAAAAGCCAATAGGATTTTCCCTTTGGATTATTGCAGAAAATAAGCTTTGATACTTACACATTTGGTTCAGCAGGATAATCTGCACATATTCACACTACTTTTATAAAAGATGAAGCGTCAATGCACTCGATAGAAGTAAAAAACTAATGTTGGGCTATAAAGGAACTACAGCAAGGTCACATGACTTCTCAACACCACCGCTAAGCTAAAGGCGGCTAATGTTGGGCTATAAAGGAACTACAGCACGGTCACATGACTTCACGTCACCACGGCTAAGCTAAAGGCAGCTAATGTTGGGCTATAAAGGAACTACAGCACGGTCACATGACTTCTCAACACCACCGCTAAGCTAAAGGAGGCTAATGTTGGGCTATAAAGGAACTACAGCACGGTCACATGACTTCACGTCACCACGGCTAAGCTAAAGGGAGGCTAATGTTGGGCTATAAAGGAACTACAGCACGGTCACATGACTTCACGTCACCACCGCTAAGCTAAGGGTGGCTAATGTTGAGCTATAAAGGAACTACAGCATGGTCACATGACTTCACGTCACCACCGCTAAGCTAAAGGCAGCTAATGTTGGGCTATAAAGGAACTACAGCACGGTCACATGACTTCACGTCACCACCGCTAAGCTAAGGGTGGCTAATGTTGAGCTATAAAGGAACTACAGCATGGTCACATGACTTCACGTCACCACCGCTAAGCTAAAGGCAGCTAATGTTGGGCTATAAAGGAACTACAGCACGGTCACATGACTTCACGTCACCACCGCTAAGCTAAGGGTGGCTAATGTTGAGCTATAAAGGAACTACAGCACGGTCACACGATTTCAGGTCACCACCGCTAAGCTAAAGGCGGCTAATGTTGGACGTGATGACATTAAGTCGTCTCATTTACACAGTTGTCGGCAACCTCCATTTTAAATTGACAGTGAGGTATTTACTGACATATTTTATCTCGTAGGACAGATGTTAAAATCTCTTCAGCTTGTGTTAACCACAGATTATATTTCAGGCATCTAACCAAAAACCCATCAAAATAACCATTAACTGGAAGAAGGAACAGAAGGGCTAAAATGCTGACTCATTTCCGGGTTTAGGACTCATTCCTGCACCGCTCTACTAAACCCTGCAGACTGATGGAGGACTTGATAAACAGACACTGAGGTGTTTCAGCCGCTGGTTGTTTCCCTCGCTCCTGTCTCGCCTCGCTGATGAGGGAATACAAGGGGAGAGGTCGTGTAATTGACTCTTGATGTAATTACATTCTGCCGTTGATTAAATGTTATCGCACCCAGACGAGCCCTGACATTAATTAGATTGCAAAGGGGTTTGTTTAAATCCATCAGCGGTAACATGTAAGTGTGTGTTGAGTTCAGGGTCTTCTTCTTCTTCTTCTTCTGTTAGTTCACTTCTCTTATGACGCACTACAAGATAATCCAAAGGAAAACAATTAACCATCTCCAGGCGAGGAGTACGTGATGTATCTGAGGGAAACGGTAGTTCTGTATATATGTCTTCTTAGCGATTCCTCTCTGAATGTGACTACAAACTACTTATATAATTAATATCTGGTTTATTTTTTTGTGTGCAAATAAGTGTAGGTGAACCAAAGAAGGGTAAAGAAAGGACATATGTTTGATACTGTGGTGATTGTCTTCAAATGTGGTTAATGGGATTTGACAATTGCTTGCCTATTCGTGTAGATAGCTGTTTTGAGGCTTAGGGTTAGGAAACCACTATTCCTGGTCAAATTTCAGTATCCATGGACCACTAGTTCTTTGTTACGTTGTTAGTATCCCTTTGAAGCACAGCTTATTTTATGTTAAGCAGCTAATTGTTTGTTTTACTTCCATTTTCGCAGTTACGGCTACTAACGGCGGTAATATTGTTTCAACTTTTTGTAACACAGTCAGACAGAAAAGTGGTGTGTTCAGGTGGGAAAGTGACAACAGTGCATACCCTCTATGACTATAATTCACCAACAATATTATTATTATTACTATTGACGACCCAAAATGTGGCTTTTAATCATTGTTGCCGTGTAGAGAACTAGCTAGCTTTTGCGTAATCTCTGCAATAATGAGAAAATGCACAGTACCCAGTAAGCGTTCAATGCACAAGCTACCCTTACTCACCTTGACGTTACTGTGAACATATGGAATCTAAGATGAAGAAGAAGATGACTTCATTAATCCTCAAGGGGAAAATTCAGTTTTTTGATTTAGAAACGTTCTGTTCTTCTCGATTAATGCTTGTTGGATTTTAAATGCATTAAAGGGTTGCATCCTAATGAGTGCTTTTGATAGTTAGTTTTACATAGGTAAGGTTTTGAAAACAGGACCTTCACTTAAGTAAAATATCTGAATACTTCCCCCAACACTGGCCAGCAGTTGTATTTCTTTGTACATGTTTCGCAAATAATAATATTCTGTTTTTGTAAGGAAATACATTTAAATCGAGGCAGCAGGCAGAACAGTTGAATGTATTATTCATATCTGAACTCTAATGAACATCATGCGGCAGATCATGTTTCCTCTTTTAAACCGCGCTGAATTAGTTTATTATGACAGAAAACACCAGTTTTTCTGCAGTGACTTTTTTTACGGTGTGGATTAAAAAGAAAAGACACACAATAAATAATAAAATCGGATTCTTCCTGCCTCTGTGGTTCTCTCCGTCAGGGGTTTATGACCCCCCCCCGTCCTAACAACCGACACTGCTGTAATGTGTGTTTGTGTGTAAATGGCAGCGGCTGCAGTAATCATGAAGAATGGCTGCAATCGAGGCGTTTAAAAAGCTTCAGATTAATAACAGGACGATATGCAGAGAGCAGCTGGGGCTCCTCATGTGGGATCAATGAGCTTTCATCTTTACTGCTGCTGTTGTCTCTACACACACACACACACACACACACACACACACACACACACACACACACACGCACACACACACACACACACACACACACACACACACACACACACACACACACACACACACACACACACACACACACACACACACAGCTTCATTAGCAGCCCTGAATATGTATGTATATCAGCAGCATGAGGTGTGATGGAGGCTGCACAGCTGATGGAGCTAATATTCCCAATGATCACAGGGTGTATTGATTTAACCTGATGGCTTCTAATGAGGAGTTTGTGGGAAAGCACTTATTCCTCTTTGAATATGCATTTGTTTTTAATGAATAATTTTCTCACCGAGAAAAACAACTAGAAAAAGACAGTATTTAAGCTCCTGGTGTGAAAAGCCCATTGTGTCGTAATAATTAGCCTCATAAAGGTTTTTTTTGTATCACACTGTAAGTGGGTGCAGAGAGGAACGGACAGATAAGGAGCATTTTAACCTTTTTACACATCAAAGCGTGTTAACAGGTGTTATGGAGCACTGCTGTTTAAGTGGAAAAAAGTTGTTATAATATATTAAGTGAAATATCCTCACACCTGCTACAAAGTGGAGATAATTACACATAAATTAGCACTTGGATTTGGTTCAGCGTTCAAGAAGAAACCGATCACATCAAAACAGTTTATTGAGGATTTTGTTGTGGATTTGCTTTATAGGGAGATAATGTCCTGAATTATAAATCACTAACACATTGATAGAAGGTTTCACTGTGAGAAACAGGACAAACTTAGCTGAAGCTGTTATCAAAAGCAACTTACATTGATGATGCTAATCCAATAATATATTGCTATAACTGGTAATGATGCAGTGGTTGTATCTAAGAAGTCAGGATAGCCCATGCCCCCCAGTACCTATCAGACATCCTTCGCCCACATGCCCCACCCCGGAATCTGCGGTCTTCAGACTCTGGCCTGCTTACCACCCCCCGCACCAACCTGTGAACGTTCGGGGACAGAGCCTTCAGCGTCGCAGCCCCCACCCTGTGGAACGCCCATCCCCACGCTTGACGCCTTCATAAAGGCCCGCAAGACCCATCTGTTTACTAAGGCCTTTGGCCCCTAATCTATTTGTGGTCTGACTGCTGTTTGTTTTTGTTGTATTTGGTTTGCCCCTGTTCTTCTTTGTAAAGCGACCTTGGGTCTCATGAAAGGCGCTATATAAATCCAAGCTATTATTAAGTTAATAAATGTAATTCCTCATGTTAGTGACCCATGCCATCTTCAGCAGGAAGCATGTTGATAGAATGAAACCAGACGATTGTGACACAGAAGTTATTGAACTAAATGATTATATGAACATTAAAGCTTACTTCCACAGTCTCAGTTCTACAACCTTGTTTTTCTTCGTGTGTTCAGGTTCAGGTTCTTTATTTGTACCCGTAGGTAGATTTAGTTTGCAGATAAAAAGACAAGGGATTCATCCTGACACACTCTAAAGACAAACACAGACAACAGACACATCTCTAATAAAAGTACATCCTGCTCGGTCAAATCTCAAAATATTTAAAAACATTTAAAAGAAAAGCACTAGTACAAACATGGACATTCAAAATTCATAATTAAACAAATAAATAAATAGGCATCTGTGTGAGGCTCCTGATGTGTTAATTTGTGCAATAGGTGCTGGGATAAAACTGTTTTTTTTGCTCTGTAACGGGTTGATTTGTAGGTGGCTGTTTCCACCAGGCCGATCCATGCCGTGCCGTTCTGGTCTGTGCCGGTCCAGCTGGCAGGTGACAGCAGAGTCAATGTCCTTGTTGGCAGGCAGAAGCTGTGGCAGATTAAAGGAGCATTTACATAATATCACTGCAACCTCCTCTTTTAGCCCACGGAAGTTCCCCGATCACACTTCACTTCTGTAAGAAATATCTACTCGTCCTTAAATAATCATTTCCTCAGCTTGGTAATCCTATTAACGGTAGATTAAATCGTTTTTTGTCCATTGGC